GATCCTTGCACTGGGCTGCTTCACATGCCACTCTTAATAAGAAAAAAACATGTAATCTAATCAAACATGCAATCAAATCAGCAGCACTCAAGCACAAATCTTATCCCAGGAGGTGAACCCCAAAGACTTCTCTGCTTCTAAACAGCAACCTGCCACACTACAGGCAAGACAAAGCCTAGGAGCCACCAAGCTTGGAAATCTGAAGTTTAAACACAGTGTTTGGGTAATAATACATAAACATGTGTCCAAGGGATCAGACAACTTGACTACATCCCTGGAGTTTGTAGTATGAATCTCAAAGGGGTAGGGTCACATCACACAGGAGCCCAGCTGTTTGTTAATGGAAGTTGAGACCCCTTGTGTCAAGATGTTAATGAGACCCTTAGGTGATAATTATTATTATGCTTTCTTGTTTGGCCTGATTTGTCTTCATGATTTATTTAATCTTTTTGTGTTTTATAAATTTATATGTTGCCCAAGAGTCAAAGTATCTCACACTAGTTACAAAGTTGCTATGATAAGTTATCAGTCTTCCTAGACTAGCTTTCCTTTCCAACTATCCTCTGCTGATATTGCTCCTAGCTATTCCTTATATAGTACCAGGCATGGAGAATCCATGAACCTCCATCTGACAATAGGTAGGGATGAAGGAATTTAGAGTCCAACATCACCTGTAAGGCCACAGGTGCGTCATTCCTGTTATATAACTTTCAAATCCACATCTCAAATCAAAAGAAGGTTACCATCTCCCCCCTCTTCTAACAGCTGTGTAACAAGTAAAAATGCAGTTGGCACAGCTTACTCCATCCTGATATTTCCATGGCAGGGAAAACACTTTTGCTTGTCCCATAATTTCTAGAGGCATATAACCTCTGCCAGGAGAAAGGTGGTCGCCCAAATTTCACATCAGAAAAACCCTATACAGCATTATTATTATTATTATTATTATTATTATTATTATTATTAAGAAAGTGCCATTGACTTTTGCAACTTTAAGTACTCCCAAAGAAAGTCATTAACTTTTAAAACAGTCCCCTCCAGTTACTTTTCTCTCCAATTTCTTCCTACACAGAGAGAAGGATACCAATACTTCAATAACAGGCTCCTCACATGGAAAAATTATTTTCTGGTATCATCCTTAATAACAATTTATGGAGTGGATTCAGTTGTCAGCAAGTAAGGTAGCGATTTGGATGGACCACCATGTTTGCAAGCTTAAAGCTACAGGAAATCAAGGAACTTCTTGCACACACAGAAACAGCATCCGAGGGGCAGACCAAACTAGGATCCCTTCAGTGTTCAGTCATTAAATGCTCAGTTTGTACACTGAAGTAGTACACATGATTCCCCGGCATGTGTAAATCAGCCTCAAGACCACGAACCTTATCCTTTTCGTACTCTGCACAGTACCTATCCCTATACTGACAAGCAGATGAAAGTAAAAACAATAGAACCGGCAGCATAGTGCCCCCAATGAGTGCTACAGACGCATACAAAAGTGAACAGTCCAGACCTATTAGCTCTTTTAAGTTCAACCAGCCAAGGAAGCAATTATCTCTTTGGTATCTCTACTGTCCCCTGCTTTCCTTACTAGGAAATGGCAGGAAGGAAGATAATTTTAGGATTAATCATTTCAGTAGCAATGGACTGCAAACTACAGGAGCTGAATTGGTAGCCGTGAACATTAAACATGGGAGGGAAAGATTCAGCAGTTGTCAGTTACTATTTCCACACTCTGGTGCAAACCCAGTTTTGGGATAATACCTGTGCTGAAAGCATTTCCTAAGCAAAGCATGATATATAGCTAAAAATAAAATAAAACCATCCTTCCCATTACAACAAGAAGACAGACGATAGGAAGCTAGGAATGTGGAGCTGGGGGGGGGGGGGAACGACACTGCTGATTGAGGCATGTCCTATAAGCTTTTCCTGAACTTTTAATTGCACTGTAAAAAAAATGAATGCCTCCCTTCAACATGCTTGCAAGGCATGCTTGCCGCAAGACGCTTTTGGCATTGATCAAACAAACGCCACAGGCATGCCTGGTGACACATCCCCACACCTAGTGCATTACGCAGGCCCCCTCCAGCTTTACAAGGTGGAAAGAAAATGACCAGTTAAGTTAAAGAGGCTTCAAAGTCTTTTTAAAAGGAAAGCTTACAAGCAGACTTGCCTGTCACTGCCTGCCGGGGCACTCCAAGCCCCTAACAGTTTATAGCAATGATCTTTCCCAAACTCTGCAGCCATCAAACTTTATGGTTTCCTGACTTCTGAGATGCGCAGCTAAAGACATCTCTTTATAACTGCACTTAAAAGAGGGGGAATGTCTCACCGGCATCTCCATGTCTCCCCTGCTGGAGCTTGACAGTGGATATATGGGACAGTATCCTGGATAAGAAGAAGGGAATTGGTCTGAAGCCATGAAAGAGTGCTTTATCTCCAGTGCTCTGCTTATTAATCCCAGACATGCATAAAGGTAAAGGGACCCCTGACCATTAGGTCCAGTCGTGGCCGACTCTGGGGTTGCGGCACTCATCTTGCTTTATTGGCCAAGGGAGCCAGTGTACAGCTTCTGGGTCATGTGGCCAGCATGACTAAGCCGCTTCTGGTGAACCAGAGCAGCGTACGGAAACGCCGTTTACCTTCCCGCCGGAGCAGTACCTATTTATCTACTTGCACTTTGATGTGCTTTTGAACTGCTAGGTTGGCAAGTACTAGGCTCTGTGGGTTAACCCACAGTGCAAGCAGAGAGAGAGAGAGAGAGAGAGAGAGAGAGAGAGAGCGCATTCTGCATGTGCTTCAGGAGCTCTGTTAGTAAAGTCACAGGGCTCAGCTGTGACACTGAAACTAGGTTCTCAGGTCATGTCTCGGCTGAAATAATACCTCTCCCCAACAGTGAGAAAGCTGGTGATGTTAGAAAAAAGGTGTATGTGTCACCCCACCCCAATGCATGAATTTATGTGGGTGAGGCATGCTCTTTGGTTACAGCATGGAGTCACAATTGCACACCAGTTTGGAGTAGTGGAACCTCAAGTCCAGAGGTCAAATGTGGCCCCAAGTCTCTCTCTATAGAACAGGCATCCCCAAACTTGGCCCTCCAGCTGTTTTGGGACTACAGCTCCCATCATCCCTAGCTAAAAGGACCAGTGGTCAGAGGTGATGGGAGTTGTAGTCCCAAAACAGCTGGAGGGCTAAGTTTGGGGATGCCTGCTATAGAATCTTCCCGAGCTGGGATAGCTCAGTCTGTAGAATGTGACACTCTTAATCTTAGGGCAAAAGATTCCTGCGGTGCAGGGAATTGGGAATAGATGAGTCTCATGGTCCCTTTCCAACTCTTCAGCTCTATGATTCTATAATTCTTTTCTCCCCACTCCTAACCCATCACCAGTCCTTCCTTGTGCCCTGAGTGCCTTTGCCTGGCTGGAATGTATCCTTGAACCGTGATGATGCCTCTTGCCTGCCTGGACAGAAGACAGACAGTGGTGTATGTGTTTGTGTGGAGAAAATAATGCACCCTACCCTGCTCTGCCCACTTTTGCTCCTGGTCCCACCCTCCACTGTTCATTTCTAGACCACCTTTTTCTTCCAAGGAGCTAGAGGCCGTGTACATGGTTGTCCTCCTCCCTATTTCATCCCCACCACAACCCTGTGAGGTAGGTTAGGCTAAGAGGTGGTGACTGGCCCAAGGTCACCCAGTGAGCTTCATGGCTGAGTTGGGATTCAAACCCTGGTCTCACAGGTCATAGTCCAACACTCTAACCATTACGCCACCACTATGCATGCAGCCTTCTGAAATTTGCCCAGAAGGGAATACAGTATGGCTCTTGGATTGGAAAAGGCTGCCCCACCCTTGGTGTAAAGGGTTTAAGCTTCCATATCACATGCTCACCATTACAGTTTCTCTTGGCTGCACAAGGAAAACTGCTGGAAAAGGCTAAGGAGACCTACAAGCCTGTCCCTACCTATTAGTTCACAAACTTGGAGGGAGAACAGCATGGGGCGGATATAATTCAAGTCAGTGTTTGACGCAATGGCGGGGAACCAAAAGGTCTGCAATTAAAAGGTAATTCTCCGAGTTGAGATGATTATTACCTTCACTCATCCCATCATTCCCACAGTACGGAGCCCCCGCGCCTGAACTTTTAAGCCGCACTTCCAGCTATCATGGTTATTAAATGAAAGAATGGAATCCTCAACAGGGTTATCATTTGCTCAGCTAGCAAAAGAGAACATCAATAAGATTCAAATGCAGCGCAAAGCTGGAAGTAACAGCGGGACCAGCTAACAGCTTCACTCCTACCCTCAGCTGGCTACCAAACTACACACACACACACCCCACCCTCCCTCTCCGCTGCTGCCTATCTCTAAACCATCGCATTCAATGCAATACAAATTTGCTATAAATATTATTATTTTTGCAAGATGACAGTTCCTACTTCAAACCAGGGTCTCAACATATTTTCATTGCACTCTCAAACCTTCCTTTATTCCAGCAGATGTTCGGAATGCTTAAGGAATGCAAAACAGTGCCCCTGCTTTGGAAAATTCTGCTCCTTTGGTTGAGTCCTCTTTAATTTTGTAGCAAAGCATATCTATAAATGTACTCTCTGAGAAGCCCTTCAAGCAGCGCTCCTATTTCACATTCCAGAATCCCTTTAAACAATGTCCTCTGTTCACTATAGGCTCTTTCTCCCCTATCATTAACTGCAACTTCAAAATACATCTTTAAAGCACCAGACTCTGAGCAAATTATAATTTGATTCTGGTTAATTACAAGCAAGCTCTTTGGAATGAGAGCATACTGCACCCTAAAAACAATGCACTCAGTGTACTTATTAGTAGCTGCGCAACATACAGAGTTGCTATTAGCAATTATGAGCATTCTGATCCATCATCAGCTTTCACCCAAATCATCGGATACCAGGTTCTAAGGTTTTGGTTTTGCATTGAAAGGGCCACCCAAAATAAATCTTTGGTTTTATTTTTATTTTTATTTTTTTAAAAAATCTTAGTTCAAATAGCACTGTCCTTTACAAATCTACATAGCCCCTGCTGAGTTTCAGGAGGACTTGCAGCAAGCAAGGATTACAGATCTCTGTCAAAACAGCCAGAGATAAACAGGAAAACATAAAGGTGCGTGGATTAGTTCACCCTGTCAGGCCTGGAACGCAGCAGGGGTCTGCTGTGACAGACCCTAAAGCAAAAGGATATTAAAAGAGGATGGAGTACATGAAAACAAGTATCAGTCCAACAGAATATATTTAGGCCACAACTCTCCAGCCAAACCAACTGAACAGGAGACTCTTCCCAGGGAAGGCGGTGAGTGTGTTTTTCCAAGTAGAAATCTCTCCCTAATAAACACATGATTATGGCTGCACAGACCACAGAAATACTTAACAATCCTGAAGAAAGACAGAAGCCCACATTACCTTCCTCAAACCAGCTCAGATGTCTTAAAACTTCAAGGGTTAGCCCCAAACACACATGCAGACCCCCTTGCAGTTTCCTGTTAGAGCCTATTTTGACAATTAGAAAGATTCTTCTTTGACCTTTCAGCTTTATCCTGGAGAGAGAGAGAAAACCAGCCCGATAATCACTCTACACTTGATTCCCCCTTCCTAAATGCGCTACATAGATGTCCTGTTGAACTCTGTGGAACTTGTCTCCAAATAAGCTGGTCAGGAAGATAACCAACACCTCGCTCTGGCTTCCTCCTGCTGCAACAGATTACTACAACATATCCTAAAGTGATGTGTGGAAACAGACAATCAACAGGACTTACTCCCCATATAACCTATTTCAGATAGCAGCTTAACAGCACAAACACTATGGTGTTAAATTGGAAGCAAGCCCCACTGAGTTCAAGAAGACTTCCTGCTCAAGCGAAAGGGTGCATTAGGGATGGAGTCTAAAACAGTAAGGCTGTGGAAGAGAGTTCATGCAGGAGTCGCCTCAAATTAGCAGCCTGGTTTGAAGTAGGTGATTTACTTTGAATTGCAGTCTCTCAGGCCAGCAACATACCTACTCAGATGCCACTCAGGGAGGGGCGGTTACATCCCAGTCAGTTAGTTCCTGTCGCAGGAGAGAATCCAGATTGCTTTTGCACAGATTTTTTTTTTTTAAGCATTGCTTTCCAAGGGGTAATTAATGCACAGTGACTATTCAATACAGATAGTCTCTGAAAGAGTCAGGCACATTGCTTTAGGACTCTGACAATTTACTTTTTTAAAACGTTCAGATTTCCACCACGGGCTCTCATGACAAAGATTCAGAGCAGTATCACCCACTTCTGCTTGAATTACGAGTGGAGTCAGTCAACCCCCATCACCTGGCAAAAAGTATAAGAGTTATTGCTGTCAATTAACCAGGAACCTGGATTTCAGGGGAAATGTGTGCAGTTACTTGCATATATATAACATTTGTGCATTTACTCAGGTGCAAGTGTAGGTTCCATGGGGTTTACTCCCAGGTAAGCGCGCACTGGCTGCCAACGTAACGCCACAAACTTATGCACACATGCATCACGACCCTGCAGAACTCACTCCTCCGAAGTGTGAATCCCAACGCTGCCTTCCTCGGAGTAAGTGAAACGAGTAGGCTTTATTCCCGAGTTAATCGTACACAGAGGACGAGCATCCTTCACATGCACCTGCCCCGAGATCGGGGATCCTGCGTCCCCCTTCCAAGCAAACCTTTTTTTGCAAGGTGGGCTGGATTATATATTCACCTTTCTGGGAGGCAAGAAGAAGAAAGAAAAATCTTTCCTAAGGAAGGTTGGAAAACGCTCCTCCGACCTGCACTCAGAGAAAAGGCTGCGCCCTGAGCACCAGTGCAGCTACTTCCGAGCATTGAGGGGCGGGGGGCTGTGTTTGGGAACTATTCCCGATGCACTTGTGGAAACCTCTCCTCTTTGGGTCCCCCTGACTCAGGCAGCACCACGACGACTTCTTTTCCCTGACTTTCCCCGTCCCTCAGACCGAGGCAACCGCGCCTCTCCGCCACCCTCTCTTCAAAACCGCGGCGTCTGAGGAGAACAGCGGGGGGAACCGTCCTGTTGTCCTACCAGCGCGGGGCAAACTCGGCCAGCCGAGGCCCCCGCCCTCCCCCGCTACCGCTACCGCTTACTAGCAACGTTGTTTGGGGTGTTCGATTACTAAAAGAGGGGTGGGGGAGAGCGAGAGAGGGCGATAGCGCAAAACAATTATTTTCGTTTCTTTACTCCCCCCCCTCCCCAGTAATCCAGCTCCCCTTCTCGACGCCGCCGGAATAAGCGCGGGCAGAAGAATCCATATGCACAAGCGGCAAAGTGGGAAACGGGCTCGAGGTAGGGGTGTGGGGCTGTTTGAAAGTCTGAGGTAACTTTTAGGAAGCGGGTGGGAAACCAGGAGAGGATACAAGTCTCTCTCCACCTCAGCAAAGTCCTGAAGAGACCAAGCAGCGCTACCCGCCTTCCCCCCCCCCCCACCCTCAGCCCCGCTCGCGTTCCCACGAGCCGCGCCGAGTCTTACCTGCGTGGCAAAGCCTCAGGTTGCAGATGCCCCCCAGCAGCAGGAGCAGGACGATCCCGCCGGGGCCAGAAACTCCCCGGCTCCAGGCAGGAGCCATCGCTGGGCGCGGACGAGGCTGCCGCGTCTGCCGCTCTCCTGCGCCTCCTCCTGCGCCGCCGCCTCCTCGCCCTCTCCAGAGGCGCCCTCCTCTTCTGCTTCTTCCCTCGGCAGCCCTTCCAAAGCTCCAGCCTCCCCGCCCGGCGCCCCAAGACTGCCCTGCTCCCGCCGCCTCTCGCAGCCACGCTGTGGGGACGGGGGTCCGCGCAACTCTTCCTCTGCCCACAGCGGGGAAAGGGGAGACCCGCCGCCGCCTCCACGCGAGGAAGAGGGTCGCCGGTGCCGCCGAGCCGCTCCTGCGGTGCCAGGCTGGGCAGCTCCTCCCCGCTCTCCAAGTTGGTAGGAGCGGCGCTCAGAGGGGCAGCCACGGCTGCTGCTGCTGCTGCGGGGCTCTCATCGCCGGAGGCTCCTGTCGCTGCTGCTGCTGCTGCCGGCGCGGCGCTGCTCCTCGCATCCTCCCCGCGTCCAGCCTCCTCCGACAGTGCCAAGGTGTCCCGCGCGCAGGGGAGCCCAGCCGCGAGAAGGGGACGGGCTGGCGGGAGGAGGAGGAGGAGGGAGAGGAGGAGGGCTCCGCGGGAGGGGGCGGGCGACAGCCGCAGCGACAGCCGGAGCCGGGCGAAGGAAGGGGGGCGCCAGGGAGCGAGCGACGGCCCACAGGCCGCGCGGAAAACACGGCGGCGGCGGCGGCGGCGGGGATCGGCTCCCCAATCACGGAGCTGGAGCCTCTCCAGACGAGTTGGCGGGAGCCCGGAAGAGCAGCAGCCCGATCTCGTGCACGTGTGTACTCAGAAGTTTCAGGCTGCTTTCCCCCTTCTCTTTTGTAAACCGCTGTGGGGTTTTTAAGGTGCATAAATGTTATGAAATGGACGGATACGCGCTGCCTTGGTTGAAGAGCATTTCCCTTAACGCACGACATTCTTGCAATCCCCACTTTTAAGTTATTTCTGCAGCAAAGCTCCGGCGCCGTGGACCATAAACGCGCGCTCTTAACCACCGGCTCAGAGTCACTCGGGACACGGGTAATGTTTGGATTTGGCGCGTCAAAAGAGGTTCTCCGAAGGGTGGCGATTGGCGAGCCTCTCCACTGCGCCTGGGAAGCAATAGGTCCCGTTGGTACCTAAGGAATGGCTCCGTGTGCCAGGCTCTTCCCCTTCACCCTACGTGCCCGTGTTCCGTGCGTGATGCTCTGCTTCCTAACTTGATTGAATGTGGCCTCCTCACAAGTAAGAGATCCCATTGAAAGTCAGTTTCACTTCCAAGCATAGGTTGAGGATTTTGGTACTGTTAGTTTGGCCACTATTCCTCTGCACCTTCACTTGACTAGCTTTTCCTATTATCAGCTCTGGTGCTAAGGTAAAAGAGAACTTATTCCCAGGTAAATTTAAGATGTGGGCTGTGAAGGTGACAACATGGAGATGGAATTATGATTTTTACCTTTGCATTCCTCCTCCCTGACTGAAATCACTGATTTTTTAAAAAAACATTAAGGAAGCAGTGCCGATAATTCAGAGCTATGCCCGTCCTGTGTAATATGAGGCAATGGTTTCCAAAAAATGTGATCCCTGGGCCAAATAGCTCAGTTGGTAGAGCATGGGACTCTTAATCTAAAGATCATGGGTTGGAGCCCCATACTGGGCAAAAGATTGCTGCATTGCAGAGGGTTGGACTAGATGACCCTCATGATCCCTTCCAACTCTACAATTCTATGAATTCAATGATATACAGTACAAGTGTCTGGTACAGTTTCAAGGGGACCTTGAAACTATGCTGCAAACAAATGTTTCTTTGAATTTTCCACCACATGCTAAAGAGACAAGCCACTTTCCAGTTCCAACTTTATAGAGTGGTTTGTCTCTTCAGCTGTGCAAGTGACTGTGCAGCCTTAAACTTCATTGATGCAACTCAATAACCCTGTGATGGTAAACGCACTGAAAACTCTCCCTGATGTCAGCAATCCTTATTTCTAAGCAAACATAGGATTTCATTGCACACGGGTGCTATTGTCATTTGTCGCACACTTTATGAGCGGGTGGGTCGTAGAATCATAGAATTGTAGGGTTGGAAGGGACCACAAGGGTCTTCTAGTCCAACCCTCTGCAATGCAGGAATATTTTGCCTAACTTGAGGCTCAAACCCACAACCCTGAGATTAAGAGTATTGTGCTCTTCCAGTTGAGCTATCCCAGCTGCTGTCACTTCTGCTCTATGTACAGCACCTAACACAAGGATGGGGACAGGGCCGTCTTAAGTATATTTGGCAGCATGGTGCAAAGCTCCCTCCGGCGCCCAGCCCCGTTTCCCAGAGTTTTTTTAGGGAGGACGGCGCTGCCAGCGGGGCTGGAGGAGGCAGGCAGCAGCTGGAGGGCGGCTCCTCCAGCGGGGAAGAGGCAGAGGCTGGACGCGGCACCTCCCGGCTCAGCTGGCCGCTTCGTGCCACGGTGGCCACGGCAGACGGAGGCTCCGGGCGTGGCGCTGCTTTGATGCGGCATGGCGAGGGCAGCGAGCTGATGCTGGGAAGCACCGCGTCCAGCCTCCGCCTCTTCCCTGGCGCCCTCCAGAACCTGGTGCCCTGGTGCCCCGCTCCACTAGCCTCTATGGGTAAGATGCCCCTGGATGGGGAACCTGCCCCTTGGCCATGCTGACTGGAGCAGATAGGAGTTGGACTGCAACAGCAACAGAGGACCACAGCCCTCCACCCCTGATCTAGTATGTAGATGCTAAAATAAACATGAAATACTAGTCATTGTTCTTTGGCTTCACTGTACCAGTCTTCTTGAGGGCTGATCTATACATAACCTGAGCAACTGCTTCCACATGTGGCAATTTTCGACTATCTCTATAACATGTAATAGGAACTACTACCTACATTTAAAAACAAACAAACAGTGCAAGAAGTTTCTACGTCACTGCTGGGTGTACCGAGAAGAGTATGTCACTGGTGTGGAAACTTCTCTGGGTCATCGGGAGTTGTTGCCGTGTGAGGAATGCTGTTGAACCACAGGGAAAATAGCTACTGCACAGATCAGGTACTATGTAGATCCGCCCTGTGATAATGACACAATCCTTAAATAAGTGAGACTTGTTTTTAAATGAAGTTGTAATCTTAAGCAAGTTAAGAAGGAAGTCACACCAACAGACCTAGCTGTGCTTAGAAGGGCAGCTTTTTTGTGCCTTTTGCTGCTGGAAACTGATAGGGTCAGAACAGAACTCTGTGTAACCTGGGAGCCTGCATGGTTTTCCCAGCGGCAGAAGTGGATGTACCATTCTACCTCTTCTGTATGAAAGGACTGGTTTTTATTAAAGAAGGGCAGGCCTACAAAATTAACTGCCTGCAGGGGACTGCTAACAGGGCTGCCTCACACAGGGCACATTTCCTTCAGTAATCTTAACGGCTGCATGCAGAAAAGCACCAGAAAATGTTCTTTGTTTGTCATATGTGGAAAAGGAGACAAGAGGACTATCTCAACCCATTAATGTTCAATATCCCTAAATAAACATTCCCCTCCTTCCCCTTCCCTTCTCAAAGATGAATTTTGAGTACAGGGCTGAAAGTGTACACTTCGCTGGCTGCCCCCCCCCCATTCCCTGCTCCTTTTCTGGATGCTGGGCACCCCTCCCCCTCCACCACAGGTCTCAAATGTCCAGGAAGCATCGCTGGTCTTTCTGATTTTTGTTTTGTCTGTGACAGATGAAAGCAGGCAAGATTAGCCTTAGAGGGGTGAATAAAGAAATAACCCCCTTCCTACCTCTCCACAGCACTGTTAACCCACCCCCCAAAAAACAGCACCTGATAATCTCAAAGAGATAAGGAGAAAAGATGGACTGTTTGCACTCTGCTGACGGTTTTTAATGCGTCTTTCCTCCTGTCTAGAAAAAAAGGAATTATTGCATTTTTACAAAATGGGATTTGGACGGTGGAAGAGGCAACTCCACTCTCCACAGCTCTGCGCACACTTTTCCCACCTACTTCTGATGGTGGGTGGGTCAGAAAAGCATACAGCCTGCTCCATAATGTGCATTTGTTTCACCTATATATAACCCACTCTGCCTCCAAGAAGCTCAGGGCCAATCTATGTGGAAGATCCACAAGAATGGCCTGTCTTGAAATGCAGCTATGTGAGGGAGAGAGTGCCAGCAATTTTGGTCACAGTCATGGCAGTGGTGTTTGTGTGTGTGTGATTTTATCCTTCCACTATGGCGCTTTCTCAAACACCTCCTCCCCAGCTCTCAAGCTGCAGTTAGCTTGCTATTTATTTGTTTGTTTGTTGCTTTCCTAGTCCACCTTTTTCTCCAAGGAGCTCATGGTGGTATACATGGTTCTCCTCATTTAATCTCCACAAGAACCTTGTGAAGTAAAGTAGGCCGAATAGCAGTGACTAGGCCAAGGCTTCATGGTCATCTGGAGATTGGAACCCGGGTCTCCCAGGTCTTAGTCTGACACTTTAACCACTACACCACACTGGCTCTGTGGGATGCAGATTCCGCTCTTTTATTACCTCAGTCACATTGGCAGCCTCCCAGCTGCATTTCAGTAAGATAGACTTAGAGGTCCAATCATGGATTTACTGCATGAAGCTTACTTTGGCTCACACAAGGCTCCCGTGGTCTCTCACTCGGGCAATGACCATGGCCACCATTTGCTTAGGAACAGCATGCACCAGTGCATTCTGGGTTGGCATTTGGGGCAAGAGTATGTGGCCCTGAGCAGTAGAATGAACAGGAAGACCCCCAAACACAGCTTACCATTGAAAAGAGTGAAACAATATACATTCCTATCTAAACAAGTGGAGTCCTTCAGACCATCAAGTCCAGAGGCTTAAATTAGCTTTATGCACCTTTCATGGATTGGTTGGATGCAGAGGAATGGTGGGAGGAACTAGCTGGGGAACCCCCAAGGGAAGAAGGCTCAGAGCCCAGTGATTGGGGGTGGGACAACAGTGAGAGGTCAGAGGGAGAAGACTGGAAGAAGGTGTTGGAAGCTGAAGAGGTACGTAACAGAGCTTAGTGATCTGGGAGAGTTTGTGGCAGAGAGAAATTCAGCTGCCATTACCCCTGGCTATTGACCATGCTGGCTGAGGCTGATGGGAACCTGAGTCCAATAACATCTGGGGGGCACTGTGTTGCCTATCCCTGCTTGACTATAGCTGACAATGAAATGTTTAGCCAGAAATTCACTTCCAAGGAGGGAGGGAGGCAGGGGGGAGAGAAACACACAACCCTATCAGCATATAGTATGCAAGCGACCAACCAACTCTCTTTTACTGCCCTATCCTGAGATTTAGTAGTGACCAACTGGACTAGAGACTTGCACTTCGTTGGGAGGCAAGGGGGTCTTCAGATATGAGTTCCACCATAAAGTTCTCAACTCCACCACAAGTACATTTCTCTCATGTGATCAATGAGAAGTTATTCAGTGGCTGAGTCCTTGTTGTCCAATGAGTTTTGGACTAGTATTCAGCCATGAACAGCAGCAGCTAGAAGTCTATCCTGCCCACCAAAAAGAGTCAATAATGAGCAAATTCACAGGGTTATTTTCCGTTGACCAATCAGGGGTGGGAATCTCAGTCCAAGGGACACTTCAAGGGCAAACTTCAGCCACATGGCGGTGGTGGGCGGGGTCAGAAGCAAAAGTGGGTGGAGCCATGGATGAGCTGCATTGGACATTCCAGCCATGCAAAAGGGCAGAGGTTGCTGCCCCCAGCTTCCATCTCCTTACCCTCCTCCAAAGCAAACGAGGCACTATCACAGTTCAAGAATACACAGTCCAAGAGCAGAGGAAGATGAGCAGGTGCAGTCTAGAAGCACATGGGCTGGGAGAGCCCTGAGGGGCAGACAGAGAGGCCCGGAGGTCTGTATTCGGTCTCCAGGTTTCTCACCCCTGCAATAAGGCAACCGTAGCACTGCGCAACATTGAAGGTCCATGCAACCATATGAGTGAAGATAACCATCTTCACTAATCATCTGGCAGGTGCAGCAACCACGCCTGCCAGACGTCTCTGTTTTAATAGCCCCGCGACGATTAAAGAGGCCCTGGAATGCTTCAGGCCAGGAGAGCAGAGTTATCAGATCTGCACCGCCTAGGCCTCCTCCTCCGGGCACCAAAGATTGCACCGAGGCACCTTTCTTCCTGGGTGGCTGTATGACTTTAGTGGCTGGCAAGGGGATCACAACCATCCAGCTCTTTTGTTACGTGCAATCTGAAGCCTTTCCTTGATATCCCTTCAGCTTGACTATAGCTGCTTGTGAGCTGGCGCCAACGGGGCAAGCGGAAAGGGAAGCAGGCAGGCGGTCACTTGGCGGTGTTGCTTTTTGACAGTCCCATTCATAGAGTGCTTCCACTGCCCACTCCTCTGTGCAGTCTTTGTGGATGGGGGGAACACCTTTCATTGTGTTGCTCAGGAAAACAGCACCCTGCACCGACCTTCTGAAATTGAATCACCATCACCAGCATTATTTGTATACCTTTATGCGTGCAAATGGGATGCGGCTGGCGCTGTGGGTGAGCCTAGGACTTGCTGATCAGAAGGTGAGCTCCCGTTGCTTGGTCCCTGCTCCTGCCAACCTAGCAGTTCGAAAGCACGTCAAAGTGTGAGTAGATAAATAGGTACCACTTCAGCAGGAAGGTAAACGACGTTTCCG